CTCCGGGCGCAGGAGGCGGCCAGGGTGTCTTCCCTCCGTGCATTTCTTCTTCTAAAAATCAAAATGGCCTTGTTTTGTTTTGCCAGCCCTCCCCCATGACCAAAGGCATCTATGCCCCCCACGAAGGAAAGAATTAAAAAAAAAACTTAATCCAGAAAAGTATACAAATAAAACAGAGAGCGGAAACGGCCCCAAGTCCCACCCACTCAGAGACAGCAGCTGTGAGCATTTAGCTAAATACACGTTGGGCTTCACAAACGCCCCGGCCGCGAGTGCACAGACCCACGCGTGGCCCGCACGGTCCGCTCTGTGCTACGCGGCCCTTGTGTTCACTCCGGACTGGCCCCCACCTCGGAGGGACCTGTGTCTTCTGACTGCACAGGCCTCAGGGAGCCACGCTGGGTCCCTTACGTCACCAGCCTCCTGTGGACAGACGGGGGTCCGTCCCATTTTTTTCAGTACTGGGAACGACGCAGCAGCGGCGTCCTGGGCAGCGGGAGATCGGTCCTTTAGGACAGTGGCGCCCAGCTCCGTCCCTGACACACCGAGGCCCCCGTCTGGAGCGGTCCTCGCGGACGAAACACCTGCCCGCCAGCAGGTCCCAGCCCCGCTCTCCAGCCGCGGCTACACCTGCACTGCGGCTGCCTCGGTCCCACTGCAGTCCCCGGAGGAAATGCGGCTCAAGTTCAGCTCAGGAGCTTCGGGAGGGGGCCGGGTCCGCTCCCCCTGCATCCCACCCGGGCAGGAATTCGCTGTCCCAGCCAGACTCCCTCCCGTCCAGTCCAGGTGGGAGGGGTGGGGCTGGCTGCGAGCCGAGGGGGGACTTGGGTGTCCTGTGCCAAGGTGTCTGCAGTGCTCGGCTGTGTCTCCCCCAGTGAGAAAGATAAGGGGACACGGGCAGGGGGAGTCAGAGAGAGACCCAGATGGAGAGAGGGGAGAGGGGGAGGAGTGGGGGTGGGAAGAGAGAGAGAGGGGGGAGAAATGCTAGAGAGGAGGGAAGAGCCAGCCTTCAGGAGAGAAATCCTGCCACAGAACAACAAATGTGAAAAGATAAAGAGGAAGGAGGGGAGAGAGTGCTGGAGAGTGAAGAGCCCCCGGCAGGTCAGTGCGCACAGAAAAAAAAAACCCCAACACACTTCCTATGTTTCCTGAGCGCGATGTGTCTTTGGGGGTGAGCACGGGTGGTTCTGACAGGCCTCAGGCTGTGCGGGGAGCTTGGCAATTCCTGTGTTTATGGGCTCCAGGCTGGAGGAAGGCCGGAGGCCAAGCTGAGTTCACACGAGCAAACCACAGGCTTCAGTTTCTGAGAAAAGACAGCCCTTGGCACCCCCCCGCCCTCTGCCGCCCCCGGGGACTGAGCTCCAACAGAAGATGCTGCAGACACACTGAGGAGGGGGAGTGCTGGGGGTCCTACACCATGAATGAAAGGCAATTTCCCGCTGCTGCCAATGGGGCCAGATTTTATGTCTGGGATTCCATCAGTCCTGGCTTTTATGTCCCTCCGTCTCAGCCCTGAGAGCGGGAGTAACGCATGTTTATAGCTGGGCAGCTCAGTGAGGGCTGAGGACCTGGAGCGGCCTGCTGGGCCCTGGCCAAGTCTCAGAGGGGCCACCAGGGGGCAGTCACTCTGGATCCTTCTGAACACCGGGCAGGGTTGGGGGTCAGCAGACAACACAGTGGAGACTTTGGAAGGAGAGACTCTGCATTCTCCCTCCCACCCCAACCCAGGCACCTGGGCGCTGCAGGACATTAGTGGTTAGTTACTGAGTTTCCCCAAACTGGGCCCCCAGAAGCAGTGGTGTTAGCCTGGCTCAGGGTTGGCACACTCTGGCCCGTGGGCCAAATTCAGCCTCTGCCTGCTTTTCCAAATAAACTGTCACTGGGACAGACATGGCCATGGCCATTTGTCTACACGTGGTCTAAGGCTGCTTTTCTGCTGCAATGGCAGTGAGGAGGAGTTATGACACATTGTCTAGTCCAAAAATCCTAAAATATTTTTACTAGCTGGCCTGTTATGGAAAATCCTTTATAGAAACCTGGAGATTCTGAGGTCGGCATTGGAATATGAGAGAACTGGGTTTGGGAAAGTGTTTTAAATTTTCTCAGCCTCACTTTTCATATCTGTGAAATGGGATGATAATTATATCAAATTGCACGAGATGATGTATGACGTATACACAATGCTCAGCCTGGTGTCTGCCATGCAGAGTGGCACCTCTGGCCTCTGTAGGCCCATGTCACACTCTAGATCTGCTCTGTCCAGAACAGCAGCTACAAGCCATGTCATGTGGCTTGTCCATGCTCAGAAGTGCCGGTGGTATAAACACACACTGGGTTTTGCAGTCTTTGTACAAAAAAATGTAAACTGTCTTGTTAATAATTTTTATGTTGATCACATATGAAAATGGTAATAGTTGGGGTCTATTGGGTTAAATAAAATATATTATTAAAATTCGTCTCACATGTTATGGTTTTACTTTTTAATATGACCCCTACAAAACCTAACATTAGGTATGTGGCCTGCTGGGTTGGAGGCTAAGCGCCCTAATTCTCTGGTTTTGGTTCAGTAGCCCAGGCAGTGTGGTCCCTAAGGCAGTAGCATCAGCAACACCTGGGAAGTTGTTAGAAATGGGAATTCTAGGATCCCACCTGCCCCAGATCTCCTGAAGCGGAAACTCTGGGGGTTGGGCCCAACAGCAAGCCCTGTTTTAACAAGCCCCTTGGGTGACTCTGATGCATACTGAGTCCCAGAACCACTCTTTAATGCTTACCCTTGAAAACATATCCTGCATATTTAACTGAACAAGACCTAGCCTTGCTCAATATCTTAATACCCTCTCCTAAACAGTGAGATTACTAAAAATATCCATTCTGATCACTCTACCTGACTTACACCCTACCATATCCAGGATTTTATTTTATTTTTTAAAATATATCTTTATTGATTTCAGAGAGAGGAAAGTAGAGGGAGAGAGAGAGATAGAAACATCAATGATGAGAGAATCATTGATTGGCTGCCTCCTGCACGCCCCCGACTGGGGATTGAACCCACAACCCGGGCATGTGCCCTGACCGGGAATCAAACCCCGATCACCTGGATCCTAGGTCGACGCTCAACTGCTGAGCCACGCCCGACTGGGCTTATCCAGGATTTTAATTCCATCCTTTTTTTTAAAAAAACCCTCACAATTTACACATTGTCATCATGATTGTTTTATACTAATAATATTAAAATAATTTACATGTTTACCAATTTCTCTGTTACTTATTTCTTCTTGTGTCTTAGGCCTTACTTCTGGGCTAATGAAGAACCTGATTTAAAAGTTCCTCTGATTAAGAGTATTTTGGCGGTAAGATCTTACAACTTTTGTTTATCTGAAAAAAGTCTCTTTCACCCTGTTCTTCAAAGCATTTTGCTGGGTACACGGTTTTGGGTTGACCATTATTTTCTCTGAGAGGCTTTAAGACATTGCCCCATTGTCTGTTGCCTTCCATTTTGTGGATGAGAAGTCAGCTGTCCGTCTAACTGTTCGTCAGTTAGTTACTGTTAAGGTTTTCTCTTTGATGTTCTTCAGTTTCATTATGATGCGGCTGGGTGTGGATTTCTTTTCATATATTCTGGTTGATAGAAACTGTGCTTCCTATATGTGTGGGTTTGTTTCTGGAATATTCCCGATTGTTTTCTCTTAAAATAAGACCTCTCCTCCATTCTCACTTTGCTTCCTTCTGGGACTACGCCTTCTGTCCTCATTTCCTAGTAACCCAGTGCTATCGAAAAGAACTTTCTGTGATGATGGAAATATGTGCAGAACAGGTCTCAGGAGCAGGCCCACAGGACCAGATGGCACAGGTATAACAGCACCAGGCCAGTAGCCGTGCAGCTGCTGGGGTGACAGCAGGACTCTGGGGGTCCCGCCACCAACCCACAGGACCCCTGAGGCCCTGAGCTGAGAGGCTGATGGCACTCCCATCCCCACGAGCCCCTTAAAATACATGAAACCA